CACATGCAACCTGAAGACAAATGCAAAATGCGTGAACTAAAAAAAAGGTTTTCAAAGCGGTCGGCCGCAAGGTGATGCTACAGAAAAATTAGACTGTGTATTTTTAGGGCTTTAAAGTTAATGTTTGATTTAGATTTAAGATGTTTAAAGGGATACTCCACTTTATTTTGGAAATAGGCTCATTTTAAACCTCACCTTACCGTTTTCGAATCCATTCAGCCGATTTTCTGATATTTAGAAGAATATCCAACGCATTCTCATCCTTTAACGTCATATAGAACGCTATATGACAAAACGGCGCTATACTACGCAAATGGCACCCGTTATCGTTAATATAACACGTGCTGTGAGAGCTACGTTTAGGAGTGGGGTAGGGTGTGCGTGTCATATTCACGCAAAAGGATTTATAACGTCTTGGGTTTGCGTGTTATATTAACGATAAAGGGTGCCATGTGCGTAGTATAGCGCCGTTTTTGCATATAGCATTCTATATGACGTTAAAGGATGAGAACGGGCTGGAATATCAGTAACCAGACAGTTTCTGATCTCATTGACTTCCATAGTATATATTTTTTTCCTACTATGGAAGTCAATGCGACAAGAAACTGTCTGGTTACTGATATTCTTCTAAATATCAGAAAATTGGCTGAATGGACTCAACTATTTAAGTCTGGGGGAGTTGTAAAATGAGCCTATTTCCAAAAAAAAATATATATATATATATATTCTCATTCTGCTTTCTAAAGGGCAGTAAAAAATTATTCAATGAATTGCAATTATTTTAATTCTATTCACATTTTGTATTTATAAAAATATTTAAGTAATTAAAATAATATTTTAATATCCAGCATTTTTTGCATTAGTAAAATGACAGTACAAAAGCCATTTGTCTTTAAAATGCCACACCTAATAATTTATACACAAAAATATATAGTTGGCATTATAATAATATAAAAAATACATTTTATTTATAATGTGATTTTCTTAAACCCATTACAGTATATAGAACCCTCAAAAGGAGATCATCAATCTCCTCATTTGAGTTTTTTTGCTAGACTTCAGGCAATCATTCCATGCAGCCGACGCTCTTCTTGTTTCCATTCCTGTTGTGGAGGAGCAACTTCTCTGCACTTCACGTTCCACAAGGAATGGAGCAGCCAAGCAGCACCAAAAAATAATTGCCTGAACATTATCATACACCACCACATTGGACCTAACATCCAAGCCCCCTTCTTCACCACAACGTCAGAGAAGGCTTGTGTTTGGACACATTCGTGTGTGCTTGTGTTGGTATGTGCAGTTGGGTGGGGAATGAGTCCTGCTAAATTGTTTCTATTGCCGCACTCATTCAGTGTTATCTGCAAATCACTTTCAAAGTGCTCAGCTCAGCACTTCCCCCTTCAGAATGCCCCTACAACCACATAATTGAAACTATCTGATTGGAAAGCTGCCAAGCAGGTAGATTACATCCGATTAGGGCCAAACCAGCGCTTCACTTAAAGGGATTAGCTTGAGCCGCTTTATATTTTTTTTTGTTCTTCCACACTTCTGCTACCCTCCCCTCCGATCTCATCATCCCTGCCTCCCACTGAGATGCGAATACAAACCGTCACCTGTCACCTAGATAGCCTTTCAGTCTTGCGCAAAGCTCTAATTAATTAGACGAGGTATAATCTGACTCGCAACAAGTTTAGCCGGCAACAAATGTGGAGGCTTAAAGAGCGCATAGACCTGCAGCACTATCATCAATGGCACAGTAAAAACTACTCAGGGAAGGCCGCCAAGAATAAGTGCGGGAAATAATGGCATTCCCTTAATAACATAACATCACGCTCCTTTGAGCAGTACGGCTGTGTTTAAGCAAGTTGCAAATCACGGTTTAGACAATCCCACCCAAGGCAATATGACAGTCGTAGTGGAAAACTGTTAGCACGTACCCTAAAGAGAGGTAAGTAGTCTTTTATCGCCGAGTTACCGAGCATCTAGAGTCTGTGCTGTTGTGATGATGTGATCTGATATGTGATCTGATGCGATTACCGTCCACTCTCTGAGGTGTAGTGTTCCTTCTTTGCTAATGATTCTCCACAGGGAGAGAGAAAACAGGGAGAAAGGAAGAATTTCCCTGGTGGGTTTGGCCAGAATGACAGTTTAAGTACATCCTCCAATCGAGCTGTAGATTAGCCCATGCAGCCAGAGCTCAGGTGCCTTTACTGGGCCTGTCAGCATCGCTTCTCTGCGATCTGCTGAGCGTGGGATTATATCTCCTTCCTTTAAACTACACCACCTCAGAGATTTACACAAATCCCAATCAGAAAGAGAAAAAGATTACATTCCCCCCCTGCCCCCGCCCAAGGCCAGGAAGACCTTGTACTTCTTTTTGCATTGAAGAAAAGTTTTATGCTCTTTAATTTTTCTTTCCCACCCTTCTCTAATGCCCTTTCTCTGGCTGTGTTAATTTTACTTTCTAGTTACCTATGAAGTGAACAAATTTGGGGTCTATCTTTTAAAAAAATTCAATATATTTCTAATGTAGAAAATACGTTTAGCAAAAATGACAACGATAACTTAGATATTGTATTTATTTGCTTTCCTAGACAAAGTTAGGGCACATTGGGCACCAAAATTTTCAACATATCTGATGCTCAAGTATTTTACAAGGACCACAGTATAGGGGTCTTGTAAAGCATGATCCTCACACCCTGAAACCAGCCCTTTATATAAAATCTAATAAAATCTGAGCGCTAAAAAATTTAAAAAGACTCTCTGGGAATCATCTGTCCTCTTATCCTGCATTTCCTCCAAGTGTAAGTGTTAATCAAAAGGCCTATAGGAACCAAGAAAGGGTAGAGCAAACAGAAAAAAAAAAAACACAACTAACCCACGGGACCGGGTCTAAGGACAGTCTCTCCTCTCAGAGTTTCTTTTATTTCATCATGTGCTTGTCATATGTTCAGATAGAGCACTAGTTAAGTGGTCCGTTGAGACTTTGTGATATTGTTAGCCATGGTAAATGGCTCCATGGGGTTTAAGATACGGAGCCATGTGATAGCCATGGCTTAAAGCTTAATAACATGGAGAGAGAAAGCAGAACTCTTTAAATGGAGAAGGATGTTTTTTTTCTCTGAATGGCTCTTATTTTGTCCTGTCCTTTTATCTTCATAGTTCTTTTGATTTCAAACTCTTCTATTTCCTAGCCCCAATTTCTCTTTATCAGAATGGAGAAATAATGGCATGTTAGTCTTGTAGTAGAGTATTTATATAATAACACAGGTTTTCAATCAACATCTTATGAAAGATAGTATTTGATTACATTGTGATTTTGTTCCTTATATGATAGATGGGGAGAAGAAAAATTGCAGATAATCATCAAATGGCACATTTCCCATTGAGGAACATTAGAAGATTTGCAAGTTGCAACAGTTTCCTTTAGTAGACATTTTGTATATCTTGATCTGATCACTTACACCAACAAACATTAGACTGTTGTTCTTACAATTTTACTAAATCAACTATTAAGTTGCAGCTCCTAATAAAAAAAAGTTTCGGCCAAACCAGGGTTAGGATTGTTAACTAAATCTTGTTAACTAACTGTAAAAAAAAAAACATGTCCATAAACAGCTCCTCTTACTTGTGGTGTCCCTCAAGGCTCTATTTTGGTTCCAATTTGATTTTCCTAGTATATGCCTTCTTTGTTTTAAAAACATGGTATCTCTTTTCAATGTATGCTGACGATACCCAAATCTATCTGCCCCTGGGATCTAATGAGAGGGGTTTGGATACACTGTTGGCTTGTCTCGCTGGTGTGAGGGCCTGGATGTCCTTACATTTTCTTCACCTCAATGAAGGCAAAACTGAGAATATAGTTTTTGAATCCTCAGAAGCTGTTGTTAGCTCACCTTGTTTAAACTTTGTTCATTCGTCTTAATTTGATAAACCATTAGTGAAGAATTTGGGTCTGTTCTTTGATGCTCTTAAATGTGACAAACCTTCGAGTCCAAGCTAAAGTAAAATCATTTCTTGCTAAGGACTTTGAAAAGGTGATTCATGCTTTTATTTCAACAGGACTTGATTATTGTAATTCAATTTATATGGATATTTACCAAGGATCTCTGGCCCATCTGCAAATGGTACAGAATGCAGCTGCCAGGGTCCTACAGGTGGAAATGAGAGCACATTACTTGATTGTTGTTACTGGACTTTAAATCCTTGAACAGAGTTGCACCTGCATACATTTCTGACCTAGTATCTGTTCGCAATCCATTAGGGTCTCTAAGTTTTATCCAACCAGAGACTGCTACCTGTAAATGTTCTTCCTACACTAAAAGATTTTAAAGTAAAACTCAAAACACACAAATTTTCCCTGAATTTATACCTTATTTGTATAGTTTCTGGTCTTGTTTGTGATTGTAATCGGTTATGTGGTATGTGGTTTACATTTTGTGGTTACTGGACATTGTACTGCACTTTGGTCAACAATCAATGTTTTTAATGGTGCTATATAAATATAAAGTTGACATTGACATTTGTGTTAATTGAAATAAAGCTGAAATGAAATAAAATAAAAATATTAGATGGGGAGGGCCTTGAAAATAAGAAATGCTGCCTTGGCAAGCAACTGAAATAAGTTGCGATGATAAGTTGAAGCACTAAAATGGCTAAATTGGAAATAAATAAAAACTAAAACTGAACCAAATCTGAAATAAAATTGCATTAAATCTAAACAGTAAAGTAATAATAATAATAATAAAAATAGCACTTCACAAAAATACTAAAATTTATCCTTAATTTACAAATAATTATAAAACAAAATATAGAAATAAATCTACTTCAAAACATTATTAAAAACAGTATATAAATAATACTGAAATAACACTGCAGCCAACTAGAACATTTTATTTACTTGTAAAAGGACATGTTTACTAGAATTTAGAAATAAGAGAAAATAAAATTGAAAAAAAAGAAGTGATGCTGCTAATAAATATGCTTCTAATAGTACTCACTGGTATGCTGCTAGTCCCTGTAAGGGAAGGCGTGCTGCTGTCAGTGCCAGGTGGTTCGCTGTGTGTCTGTGTGGGTGTGTAGATAGTGAGGGCTGCAGCGTGCTCAGGGACCGGACTGGGCCCCGTGTAGTCCTGCCCAGGGTGGGTGTATTCGCCAGGCAACCCGTTCTGAGGTGGAGGAGGAGGATACTGCGCTGGGGCGTACGGCTGAGCCATGGCTTCTGGGGGAGCTGGGGCCTCCTGGTTACCCTGGAAAGAAAGAAAAACAGAGATTCTATCAGTTTTACTCTTACGCATCTCATACTAATCCAGTTTCTCTGGCTGTTGAAGGAACAATGCCTGCAATGAGACGTGACAAAAGCGATCATCGCCCTGTATGTCTGGGTTGTGATGATAACGTGATAGGAGAGAATGAGACCTAATTCCACGATAATGGCAGAACAACTTCTAGGACTACTACTGCACCTGACAACCTGAATCATACACCACGATAAGCCTTAGATATGAGTGCCACTTACAATCCAAGAACTGATACGAATCCTTGTTCCTGCTGCCGAGACAAATTTTCACCATTATTAGTGAGACACAGTAATATTTGCCTTTAAAATAATTATTTTTTTCGAAATATATCATTTACTTGTTGTTCCAAATCTGTTAAATGTAACACAGCTATTTTACAGCAACAGCTTATAGTGGCTATATCCGTCAAAAATTACCTGACAAAAGAGTACAATAAAAGTAACTGTGCGCTGTGTTTAAAGTTATCTAAAACCATTCAATTGATGTGAGGATTTTATTAACAAAAAAAGTTGTTATTCGCTGATAAGTCTTACCTCTAAAACCCCTCAGACCGACTGGATCAGTGAGTTGGACTTCAGAATCAGATTTGTGTGAATGACTAGTTCTTTTCAATAGTTTGGACCGACTCTGTTCTCAAGTTCAGCTCACTCAATAATCCTCACTGAAGAGCATGTTTGTTTATCAGTGAATAACAACATTTCTCTGTTCGTCACACAAACAAAAGCTAAGTTATGGTGTTTTTTGGAGCTTGACAGATGTGGTGATGAACCGTCACTGTAATAAAACTAAATACACTAACAGCATACACATTTGCAACAGCATGAGAAACAGAATTTAATATTTGGTTGGAAACTGAGGCACGATTTTTCGCGTGGGGTCCCGTCTGCTGAATGGCTCTGTCTGGGCCCTATCATATCAGCTCTCAGAGAACATTAGAGGACTGCTTGATCACTACAAGACAACAAACTTACTTTATAGAGCAGCGCTCGATAGATCTGCAGCCCGAGCGACAGGGTTCTAAATTGCTCTCTTGGCAAGCAGCATGTGTGAGATCAATTAACTGATAAATTTTTGATTATAACCTTTGATTTAAATTACAGGTTTCTAATACAAGCTGCTGTTCCCCCTTTTCTGGTATTTTCCCTCATATTCACCTCCCTCTGTTTCCCTCATTCAGTCTCACTTAAGCGCTTTCTCCAGCTCTCTGTCTCGGCGCTGGAATTAAATGAGTCTCTACCCCCTCATTTAGGTCTCTGTGTGAAGAGGTGTCTTTCTTTCGCTCTGTGTATCAGCATGTAAATGAATGTGCTTTTTCTTTCTTCACATCCATTTCTCTCCATTGAAGAGGATGCAAATGAGATTCTTTACTCTGTTGCTTTCCCATTCGTTTTGAGTCACCGAAGAACACGATGTTTTTTTTAATCTTATCAGCGAACATTAGGATGTGCCGGCACGTCATTTTTCTCTCTTTCTCTGACAGGTGTCATCATTTGTGCTGGAGGAGACTGACTTTGTGACGGTTCTTGGTGTGTAGCTTAAAGAGCCAATGGAGAAAAAGTTACAGTTTTTTTGCCCTGTGTTGACGTATTTCCTATATTTCCTGATGTATTTACTTTGGATGGAACATTAAGAAGAGATAGTAAGAAGTGGTTTCCATGGGACAGCACTTCTGTCCCAACACTGTACTCCCTCTTTTAATGCACCTTACACATCGCACATAACATACAATATATATATATATACAAGGTTATCTTATTATGCTATCTTGTATTTCAGATAGTGACAATGGCAATCTTTGTTTGTATGTCTGACTGTTAAAAAAATAGAAAAAAAAGAAGAGATAGTAACATTTTTAGAAGTTAAAATAATAGGCTGTTAAAATAAAACAATATAACAATTTAAAAAAATAATATTAATTCATTTTAAAAAATGTCTAAGATAAAGATATTGAAACAGATAATGGACTAAAAGTAAAATAAAACTCCACTTTTTATTTAATTTGGGTCTGTAAACTACTGTAGTGTTTATGCGCATGAAAGTGTGTTACATTGATACGACAGATGGCTTATTTTAGAGAGTGTGTGCGTTGTGAGATGATGAAAAGTAGTCATTTGGACAGAATGCAGGTGTGTTAAGTGTGTTGTTCAATGGCTAATCTCTCTGGTAGTGCACTGTGTGTGCATGTTTGTAATGACAGATGACCTGGCTAATCTCAAAGGTAAAACACTGATGTGTGTGTGTGTGTGAGAGATGACAGATGCGGGCTACTCTCTAGGGCAGAGTGCTGTTGTCAGCACAGGTGCAAGTGGGTCATCAGTACAAAGTATACGTGTGTGTTTCTGTAAATGTGTGTTTGTGTACTGTACTGTACTGTACTGTACCTGTCTGAATCCTACTATATAAAAGCTGCTTACCCCCAGGGACTCATATCAACATATTAATCTTACACAAATGTAGAACCTTGGAGTTTGAACTCGTCCTGAGAGCTCATGGCAAAGACAGGCAATAACAGCTCCTTTAACCAACTTTTGGGTAATGGGACCTCTGTTACACACACTTACTCTGCCTGCTCAAAAATTAATCAAAATCTGATGAGCTTCAAAAATCAAACAAAAAAACACCAGGCACCCCTGGACACAAACGACTTCTTGTTTGGAACCACGTAATAAGTTGAGCAAACAATAACATACCTGAATCGGATTTGAATTTGAATTGAGGTAGAAAACAAATTGTTACATTTTTAACAAAAAAATGTGAATGAAGTAGAATTAAAAATAACTGAAATTTCAAACTAATTTCAAACAAGAAAAAAGTAAATAAAATAAAAAGTTAAAAATTTAAACAGATCAAATAATTACTTAAATTATAAAAATATTATATAAAATATTATATAATTAATATAAAATATTAATTCTATTATAAAAATATAATTTGCTTATTTAAATGTAGATAAAGAATACAAATAATATATTACAATACTATTTTATTAAAATTAAATTATTAAAATAATTATTTAAAAGTATTTAAAATGATAGAATGAGCTATTGCCTCTCGAGGCTCTCGATATCCCAATCCCATTCCCTCAACTTTCCTGTCTTTCTCAATTGTCCTTTAATATGGGCTAAAAAGGCCATAAATACAATTACAAAAAGAGAAAATCTCAGCAAAATTTTGGCTTCCTCCGCCTTTTCAGCCGCTGTCCATTACAGAAGGCCAACGAAGAGCCGTAGGAAACACAGAGCCTTTCTTTCCCATTTCTGCTTGATTGTTATTAACCTTTTTTCACTGACTAAGCAGCATTAGGCGGCAGCAGCAACAGCTTTGGCCAGGGAGGGTTGCAGTTTAATAGAAGCGGGGAGAAATGCATTAATGTAAATGTAGTGGAAACAATGAGAGGCCTGGCCATTGACATGTTGGCAAACAAATGAGGCTGTCCTCACAATTAGAGTCAATGCTCCATTATCCAAATGAAAAAAGCACTCTTCCGTAGCCGAACGCCGACGGACAGGCATGGAGGGGTGAGAAGGACCGAGGAATAAGGAAACTGGGGAATTTTATTACTTCTCAGTTCTTTCCATCCATTTGCACTTCCTTGCAATTGTCTTGAAGTTCCAGGAGCTCAACCTGAGACGCTGATGCAACGTGCAGCCCCGTTTTGATGAAACATGTACAGTTTGTTACACAAACACACATGCCCGTACATGCAACCCCAGCCAAACTAAGTTTTGACAAGTGAGGGTGTTCTATTGATTTGATGTGAAAGTCTGTCTCTCTCGCTATACATGTTCGTCCATCTAGCTCTGCATCTTGTTCTTTTATCCCCTTCCTCAAGTTGCACCACCCAGGCTGAGTCTTAGCCTACTCTTTTCTAGTCAGACAGAGGGAAAAGGAGTGAGGCAGCCATAGCCTGGGGTGGATATTGTAATACACTGAAACATTAAGCAGTATTGATGCTCAAAGCGCTGATGGGGGGTGTGGTCTGTCCGGCGGCATGAAAAACAGTGGATAAGCCTGACGGGGAGGGGCGGCCTCCGCTCCATCATGGGGTCTGGACAGATTCAGCTGAGGTGCTCACACGCCTATAAAGTCTCCCGGAAATGGCTTTCGCTTGAAATCACCTTATTATTGCCGTTGCGGTATGAAATATTCAGAGAGCTAAATGCACATTTTCCAAAGATAAGATGAAGGATTGAGAGCGGCTTCCTTTGCATCTGGTGGGCTATGAGGCGGATGAAACAGTCAGTAATCCAGCCTCGGATTTTTCCGACGTGTTTCTTTCCGGCTCTTGCACCTGCAAACATTATTTTCTCAGTCTTACACCTGTGCCGAAGGTCTCTAAACCCACCTGACCTCTGTTTTCTTGTTGTTTCTATGTGCATTATGTTTTTTTCATAGAAGGTTAAGCGAAAATGACCTGAGAGAGCTGACGCCCAATTAGCTCCCATTAGATCCGCCTGCGGTCACAGAGAGCTTGAGTGATGACCTGAGCCTGCACCGTACTCCACCACAGACGCCGAGTGGATGTGCTGTAAAACCGAACCTTTGGGACTGTCCGTCATCGCAGCGGTCAGAGAGTGACCACTACATGATGTGAGGTTACCGAGAGATGAGAGAGATAGATGAGAGAGAAAAGTTGTGCTGAAATGTCTGAAGTCGGTTGAAAGAGTTCCTCTGAACTCTGGTGCTTGAGTCAATTGAGAAGCCTTTTAAATTCTAATGGAATTCCTGCATACAGGACGCAGAATTGTAATTCCAATTTAAAGAATGAAAGAAAATTATACCGTACCAGCCAACTTGAAAAGGAAAGTCTGTAAAGACAAACTTTGAATGTTGCCACGAAAAAGATTTTTTTGAAAAGTAGGCGAGATGGATGGATATATTTAATAACAAAAGAAAGTCTTTAATGATCTTATAACGAATGATCACATAGTTGATTTTTTAAACAGGAT